CACTTAAATTTTACTAATTTCACTAATATTATAACTGATGTTATAATTATTCCATAGAAAACTTTAGTGTAAGTGATTTTACTAATATTATGACTAATCAGTAGAAAGTTTTAGTATGACGTCCCCAGTACTCATTAGAAATTTTCAAAATTTATGTTCATAACCTTGAAGCACTTAAATATATTTACCTTTAATATGACAAATGACTATTTTCTTGAATGGGTTTCACAAGTGTGCCAAAAGATGTTTTCACTTTACCAGTACTTATCATTTATAAATGGTTGAAAGAGTCCAGTTATCTGTTGAAAACAAAACAAAAAAAAAAATAAGCTTCTATATTAGAGATCATATGGTTTAGGTATAGGAGTAATCTTTTGAATTTATGGGGTATACATGTTACCAAAGAACCATACTCTATTAAAGAATGTATCCTTACCCATTCAGTGTAGCTAAATGATTGCCAGCCTTCATTGAAGTGATAAGATAAAACTCGCCTCGCTTCCATCCCCTATTCCACATATCAGTTTTTTAGGTGGTAAATTTGATGCTCTAAAAATTTCAAAATACCTTTTAATTTCTGAAAATAAGAATGGATGATTGAATTGTAATTACATTTGAAAATAAAACAAACGATGTCACTATCTTGAGACAACATTTTTTGAATGTTTTATGGTTTCCAGGGAATATTATATTGCAGGTTTACAGAGAATACAGGGGAGATTTCTAATAGAGTTAAGTAATGTAATTCGATACTATGTTATAATAAACGAAAGCTAAATTTGTTGTCTTATAGAATGGTAGATTAAAAACTTAGGAATTCCAGCTCCATGCCACAGTGTAAATTTGTGCCCTAAAAAAGGTAAAACAAATTCATTGGATTAAATGTTTGCCAGTCTGCATGTGTACTCACTAATTGAAATAATCCTCTCTGCCTTCCTTCCTCTCTCCCTCCCTCCCTTCCTGTCATGCACTGTTTTTTCTTTTTCTAGAATATCTGCATAAATGTGTGTATACGTACGTGTGTGTATACATATATCTACATATATGAATATATGGTCTTTTAGAGGAGACAAATCTTAAAAACAAACTAGAGAGGATTAAAGGAAATTGTATAGGCAACGTTGCATTTATTTTGGGAAGTGGTATAATTACACATTTAGGAAGTGGTTAAAATCCCAATGTCACTGCCAGAAGCTGCTCAGGTACATACTGTTCTAACTTAAGTAACAATCAGGCAGCCACATATAAAAAATATGCTATAACTATTTTTGATTAAATTTCCGTTTTCCAACCTCACTGCTATTGACATTTTGTACCGGATGATGCTTTGTTGTAGAGGGCTGCTCTGTGCATTGTGGGATGTTTAGTGGCATCACTGGTATCTACACACTAGATGTCAGTAGCATCCCCCTGGGCCCATAAGTTATGACAACTAAAAATGTCTTTAGACATGGGCACATGTCTGCTGGGGGACAAAATTGCCCCTGCTGGGTTGCATGTTACCAAGATGTGAAATATTTCCTATGGGAAAAATGGAAATCATATGGAAAGTATTTAAATCTATGATGTATAGACCTCCACAAATAGAAATTTTTAAATCACTTGCCAGAAGACAGTAGTAGATGCTGCAAGCATATGGTGGTGAGTAAAATAGTTTCTGTTACAAAGCAGTTGATACTGTAAGAAGATACAAGATACTAGTCCCTAACATACAGTACAGAATATTTAAAATAGTTTGTTACAAAGCAATTTATATTGCAAAAAGACACAAGTACACTAATCACTAAAATCGAGCATAGACTGTGACAAAAGTAATTTTGGTTCTAGTGCAAGCAAATTCAAAGTGCTTACACGGAAGAAACGTTGTGAAAAAGAAATAAAGCAACTAGTTGAGAACTATGGAGAGGTGGAGAGCAGATTTCCCATTTTAAAAAGGCAGCACCAAGTGTTGTCATATGGAATCTCCAGGTGATTTGCATGCTCAGAAATGCTGGTCTAGTGGACAATTTAAAATGAAAAGCATTGGGGCGCCTGGTGGCTCATTCGGTTAAGCGTCTAATTTGACTTTGGCTCAGGTCATGATTTCACGGTTCATGAGATCAAACCGTGTCAAGCTCTGTGCTGACAGCAGGGAGCCTGCTTGGGATTCTCTCCCTCTCTCTCTCTGCCCCTGCAGAGACCGCAACCCCCCGCCCCACCCCCCATCTCAAATAAACTTAATAAATAAATGAAATGAAAAGCTTTTAGTTTGGAGGATTTGGTCTGTCTGGTGATTCATCTAGAAACTTGAGTCTAGTTTGAACAAGAAATATACCTTAAAAATACCTTCTTCAAACAGTTAACAAATTCACTGTCTCCCTTCACCCCTTATTCCATACCAAAACCCCAAAATGAAACGTATGTATGATGGAAGAGTATATTTCGTGTTGGAGAGATTTCAGGCAGAAGATTGTTCTGTTTTGTCCACCCTTGAAATTACAAAATTCTAAAAGGCCCGTCGCTCCCTTATCCCAGGTTGATGCTGATGCTGCTTAGATACAGGCCCTTGAATACTGAAATAACTTCGTGGAAAGGGATACTTTTGAAATTAGGTGCACAAAAGCATTCAGTCTGAAACACTGCCAGAACCCACAGGTGCGTAGTCAGACAGCGTGTCACCTGCCTACTCCACTCTCTGAAGCAGCTTACTCTGTCTTCATTGTTCCCTGTTCTGATGCCTTCAGACTCTTAACACAAGCTCCTGCTTAGCCTTCCATCAAAAACTGGGGCATGAATACCCTCTGCCTGCTGTCTCCACCTACTGCTCACGCCCAGCCCACTCTTGGTCTCATTCTCCCAAACCAGCATCTGCCATTGACCTCCATCTCACAGAATAAAGGAAAGAGAAGATACTAAGTGCTCATCTTTGTTTTTGGGGCTTCTGTGTTCCAAGGGGTCCATTTTTTGATAGTTTATCTGTTCACATGCCTGACACCATCCCAGAATGAGCTTGGAAACATAACATCCAAACATAACAGACATGCATTCAGCACACATTCTTCCAACACACATATACAGAGTGCTTAGCTGCTTTCCATACATTATATCATGTCATACACTTCAAAGAGGCATTAGTACTCTCATTTCACAAATCACTTGTTTAAAGACAGTTAAGAGGCAGCAGCATGATACTATCCAGACGGGGTTAACACTACTATCTGATGTTGTCTACGGGTCCCCTTAGTCTGTTTAGTAGTTATTCCTGCTGTATCTTCTTTTCCACCTCTTCCTTCCACTTTCCACCTTATCCTTTTTTACCACTCCGCAGATAGACTTTTTTTGCCATCTTCTCCCACTTCTCAGACTCAGTGGTCAAACAGGGAACTGGGTCTTTCAGGCCACCGGTATCACTTCTAGAACATTAATTTTCCACTTTCCTTCTGATTCTTGTTATTTAGAGTCTAGCGATAAAATTATTTGTGCTGTGTCTTTCACTTTTCCCAGCCCAAAGGCACTGTGATTTTAGCATCTTGATTTATGCTTTTTTATACTCAATAATTTAATGATGCATAAAAATGACCCTTCAGATTCCCCAAACTGTCAGGTTTTCACACTTTTTGCCTTGATAGAAATGCATGTCCATTCCTTTTCTCCTAGTAAAGAACTTTATCTCATTCGATCTCATCAACACAGAAACACTTGCAATTTAAAGATCTCATAATTCCTAGTATCTCTCAAATCACATTGCGTCCACTAAGACTATACCTTCCAGCATTATCGGGTAGCCATTTCTCTTAACCTCTCTTGGCTTCTAAAAGTCAAGTGCCACTTTATCTTTCTGTACTTCTTCATTTGTCATGGCATTGAGAATGCTAAATCTATAAATCAAATAATATTAAACAGACTGGAGGGGATATATACAAGGAATTGGGATACATCTAGCATTATTGTGAGTGCTTAACTTTGTAACGCTTTATTTAATCTGGCTCATAAAGGTGTTAAAGCCGTTTCTTCTAAGCAAGGAACCATGGACGCCCATTTCTCTGGGTCTATGATAGCAGGACACCCCTAGGGGGCGCCCCGTCTCACAAAATATAAGCGACTGGAATTTGACAGACAGAAGGTATCATTTCAGAGGTGTGGGCTCAGAGAAGACCCTCAGCTCATAAGAGTTTGGGTTAGAAACAAGTTACAAAACCTACTTAGGTTCAGAGCCTTTGAAGAATGACTGAGCTAGCCTTGGATATATCCAGAGTTCACCAAGCAAGAGCTGGAAGAACTGAGCAGCAAGCACTGGACAGACTGCGTTTCTCTTTGGCTTTCCTTCACCTGACTCAGCAAAAGTAGATGGCGTTTGCAGAATTGCCCTACTAGAAGCGTCCTGGTGGCGGTGTGGACAGCATGAGATTGAGTTGAATTTGGATAAAGCCTGCTGTGTCTCTCTTTCCGCAGGACAATATTACTTGCTACTTATTCTTTTATTATAGGGGCAAAATATCAGGCAATTAGCCTTTGGAAGACTCAGTCATTCATCCAGGAAAGGAGCAGTAACAAGTGATAGGAGTTAGGTACTAAAGCAGAGAGATGACTAAGTTTTCTCTGGTGCCTTCACAGGGATTCCCAGTTCCGAGGTCCAGACAGTACCGTGGACCCTCTTAGCCACCGTCAGAGGGACCGCCCTTCCCTCCGGTGAAGATCCCAACAATTCAGGCACGGAGTTTCCTTTTCGCCTCGCCCTCGCCCTTTGTCATCAGTCAACGAAGCGCTGTTCTCCCAATGCTGTATTAAGGGAAAGAGATTACACAGGGGTCAAACCCCAAACGTGCATGTAAAGTTCTGCAGGCTGCGGGGAGACAGCCACATTTCCTGGGCAGCGGGGGGAAGCCCGCCGTCCCGAGGCGGAGCTGACGGCGCGCGGCTGCGGCCCCGGACCCCGCGCCGCCGGCCGTAGCCCCGCCCCGCCGCGCCGTCCCGAGCGGCCCCCGGCGCGCCGACCCAGCGCCCAGCCCGGAGCGCCGCGCGCGTGCGGGGGGCGCCGTGCGGCCGGGCGTGCGTCCGCGAGTGGGAGATGCATTGGCGTCACGCGGCCGGGTGTGTCCTTCCGCGTGGTTTTGATCAACAGTCCGTGAGGGGATCGTGAAAACTTTTCTCTGTGGCTGAAAGGATGAAAACTGAGTAAGTACACAGAACTTTGAACTTGAAGCGGAATGAGACAAATACGAGCAAAACTCCGGCAGTAACCATGTCCATTCAAACCGTGCGTTCCCTTTTTATGTGAAAAGCCGTGAATGCTTACGGGAAAGTGGCGATTTAAAACGGACCGAAGGGAAGCAGTGGAGGACCATGAAAGGCTGGAAGCGGGACTGCTCCAGACCCGGAGGAGAATGAGGAACTGCTCGGGCAAGCTGGCCCGCAACCCGCGGTGCAACAGGCACTTCTCGTTTTAACCTTTAGCGCTCTTCAGTGCCGTTTCTAGACTCCAGATTTACTCTGGTATTGTTTTCTCTTTTGCTGTAGAGTCTTTGCTGCGAGTCTAAGGATGTTGTGAAAGTAAGTCATCACCGGAAGCAACAGTTGGGCAGCCTGGGGGTACGCTCAGGTTATTAGTTACCACTAGTATTATTTTGATGTCTTTTTTAAACCCAGGCCAGCCACTTTTCAGTGTCATCCATGGGAAGGATCTTATTAACCGCCTCAGACTTTTGGGACCTATGATTCTTTGGCATGGTCCTTCGGAAAGTTCTTAAGCGGAGATGGAACACTCTTGATTGAAGTTGTGGAAGAAGACTGATTTGTATTTTTTCATGCTGGCAAAAAATAGCTGCTATGACTCTTCCGGCAACGTGGACAGGGGCCAAGTGAAGCTGAGCTGGTCATGGTCTGTCGTCCAGTGTTCCCTTGTCGTCGGCGATTTTGCCCCCGGCCCTTTTTGGTGGGCTTGGTGGTGGCCATCTGCCTCTTCTACCAGACCTTGACACTCCGAGGGACCAGGAAGCTCACAGCCCCTGTCCCTGGGGCCGCCCCAAACACACCCACCGAAACCCAAGCAAGCAGATGCAAGAAAGGAATCTCCCTGGACAAACAGTGCTTCCTTCCCTCCGGTAATGCACAGGAAATCAGAAAGGTAAGACGGTCATAAACTGAACCTTGACGTTTTCTGCAAAGACAGCAGTCTGCTTCTCTCTGTCCTTTCTGTAAAACTAAAATTAACTTCCAAGAGGTCTGAAAGGGATCCAGAGTAGAGTCGGCCCGGAGAGTGACCTTATGACAGTGAGACACATGTTAGCTTCAACTTCTTCTATTTACTGCCAGAAAGTGCAGGCCATTATTTCATCTCTTAGAATTTCACTTCATTTCAGCAATAGACAATTTGGAGGACATTGGAGTGATGTAAATTCTTTCTAAAATATTAGGATTCTAAGAGATCTGGAGATTTACAGTTCAGGAACATAAATCAGAGATTCAGAACATTGGATCAACGTTAAGTGTTTCCTCAAGGTAGTCACTCTGAGTGACCAGACCATTCCAGACTCAAAGATATTCCAGAATTCCATTTTATAATTGATTAAATCCAGTTTTCCTTGGCGAATGCATTTTTGAAGCAACATATTTGTTTCTGAACCATTTGAAAGAATAGTATAATACGTTTCCTCAAAAAAAAAAAATCGACGCCCTGAATTTTATTGTTTAAAGATTTTGGGAAATGTTGATTATTCTAAACTTACACTATTTATTTAGCTTTACTAATTTTTTTAAGTCTTGGAATAAACACAGAACACACAAAAAAGCCCTGCAGAGTTTCTGTTTTAGTATACCATTCTGTTCATGCCTGTTAGTGAAATGATGACCTTTAATATAATCCAGCCTAAAAAAGGAAAAAGAAATAGGAAAAAACACATGCAAAAATCCATAGTAGCAAAGCTACTGATTTCTATGCTATAGCAAGAGGTATAGCTATATAAATTATATTTAGCAATATAATTTAGGAATCTTTAAGTACTTTCTTATACCTGCAGTAGATTTAGGTAGAGCCTACATCTGTGGTTATTGTTTGGAGCAGAATTTCCTGTTGAATACACACTGCTGCTGCCATTATTGCTAATACCTCCAGCAGTACTACCATCGTGTTTCAAAAACTCCTTTATGCACTTCTTTTCAGACTCATAACCTTGTGAGACAGGTAAGGGAGGTGTGATGGTCATCGTTTCTCAGTTAAGATGACTGACACTCAAAGATGTTGAGGCAGGCCACAGGACTACCATGTGACGTGGTACGTCCACCCGGTTCCTACCACAGGACTGATGCTTAAATCAAAGTAGATTCAAAGCTCTAATAACAGTTCATGAAAACACAACTGTAAGAACTTGATGAGACACAAAATAATAGTAGGTTAGAACAAAAAAAAATTTTCAAATTTTAAGTGAGTGCCTTAGCTTATCAATGTCAAGAAACATCTTGGCCAAGAAATATGATAAAGAATAGCAGATAGCATCACCAGAAACACTTCTGGATGAAGTTTCAACTGGCAAGTGCGAATCAATTATTAGAGGTTCTGAAGTCAGTGAAGAATGTGTATGTTTTCTTCATTTATACTGACATCAATTTTTATTTGCATTTTTTGAATACATCAACTTTCTAGTGGGTGTAACCCGTGACTTGGAAAGTCACTTCTTGGTTTTTTTCCCCACTGTTAATGCATATAGTTTCTTTAAAAATCATTGAGATGGTTTTGCTCTTAAGTACGTATAATTTTTGCTAAGAATTGTGGATGAAAAGGTTTTCATTCATTAACTCACAGCCCTTCTTACTCCCTGCTTGACTTTACGTGACTGCTGCTTATGCCTGTAACATAGACATATGTTAACTGTTATTTGGCAGAGAATTCCACTTCTTCTTTGGTTCTCCCGCTACTTGTAAACCATCTGAAACTTATTGGCTACTCGTGTAAAGCATTCACTCTAGAATTTTCTTGACACACACAGAAATGCCAATCACATGATTTTTTCCCCCAAATTATTCACAGCCTTAAATATTTTAACCATAAGCAAGATTCTGAATTCGCAATTATAATTCAGAGGCCCGGTAGATATGAAAACTGAATTCCCAAACATTTGCCATCTCTCTCTCTTCTTAACTTGTGTCAGCCTTTGGTTTAGAGCCAGTTTTTATTAGAGATTGAAAAGAAACTAGAAAGAATCATATGGAAGTTAGTTACACCCAGATACATCTTAGTTCGCCTCGTGATACGTGTTCCAAAACAAGAATCAATTAAGAATCCAGTTTTGAAGATTAAACATTCTTGAAGAAAGTAAAAGTGAAAAAACAAATGTGTTTGGGATCAATATATAGATCATTCTCAAAAAGAGCTACCTTATGAGATTCATTAAAAAACTAACAGCATGCTTACACTGGTTTTCCCCAAGACCTAAAATATAGCTTTTGGGCATTTTACAAAAGCATTGTTTATGTCTAGAAATTTGGGGATTTGATATTACTTTTATTTACAAACCAAAACGTTCACTTTTCTAGGGCTTTCCCTTACTGGTATCCATCCATTTTAAATTGATTTTAAGAGTTACTTAAAATAGCTGATTTTGACCTAAGGTTCATGGATTCCAGGAAACATTTGGACTTTTAAGATGACCACCAAAGGCAGACACTGCATACATCGTATTGTGCATGTGCATATGCACAGTAGTCTGGGAAAAATCACGATCCTTCAGATATTCTAACCTAAAGAAATACTAAGAAGCAAACAGACAAAGTGCTTAAAAAGCAATGCGTTTAAACTTTCCTTGCCCCTCCAGCAGGTAGAAGTTGGGTTTGGAATTGTAAATCTGAAAAAGGAAAACAAAATCTTAATGAAAGGAGCCATGTGAAGATGTTTGAAAAAGTTACTGTGAATGTTGAAGTGTCTATAAGGGATAAGCATTCAGAAAGTAAAATACACTCACAGCCTATTTCTCGAATCATAGTTTTCTTACTGTCATGAATAAGCAGTAACTATTTCCCAGTCTGTTGGTTGCGGTTCTTTCTGAGAGAAGACCTTTTGTATTCTGTCAGCCTCGCAACAGAGGGGTCTGTGGTAGCAAATATTTAAAGGTGGGAGATGGACTGTGCCCTTTATACCTTTACAGCTGGGACCTGGTTCACTGTCTAAAACTGTTTTCAATACAGATTGAGGTCATGGTCTAGTATATGCCAACTTTCCATAGTGAGAGAGGACTCTCCCTCTTCTGGCCAAGTTTTAATTCTTTTTTTCCATCTGAACTTTCCAAAAGGACCTTGCTAAGCAGCTGTCCTTTCGTCATTTCTTCTGGGTTTCCTCGCAATGTTAGTTTGAATTTGGGCTGATAATCTGCCACGTTTTAAAACTACTTCAATTTAATGTCTAAACCGAAGACAATTTCATTTGTCTTCACTGAAGGAGATCACTCAGTAGATTTATGTATTTTCCTGGAATCTAACACTTAAATATTTCACAATGTCGAAACACATTAAATTATAAACAGACACAATGGAAGAAAATATGCTCAGTATAGATCCTTAGTGTTTGCTCCTTGAATGGAAACTTTACTATTTGGAGAATACGCTTACACTCACCGTAGCCATGTGGTACTGATTATCCCCTGTTGATGCTCCAGATGGAGAATTTCTAGTTCTTTGTTGCTTGACTAGTCATTCTCCATTTCTTCTGGCATCTCCATTCTCCTTCAGTGACTGTTCTCTACAACTGCTCTTCCCAGTATCCAACCATAACCCAGTGCAAATAATTGAGTGTTTTCATACAGATATACTCTATGTAATTTTGTTTGTGTCTCTAGTAATGCGTAATATTTTTAACATTGGGAAATTTCTAAAAATTGATTATTTGGCCCGGGTTTTCTATAAGCAGAACCTGAGGCAAATACATACAAGCTGACACTTGATTGGATGTTGCCATCCCAGGGATGCAAGAGTGGGTGGGGGGTGGAATAGGGAGAGAAACACAAATGGGTGCATTTAGAGGAGACATAACCAGAGAGGCTGGAGGAAACTCTGCTTCTCAGAACAGGCATTGTGGGGAAGGGGCAGAAGGGGCAAGTGGTTGATCTCCTGGCTTTCCCCTTCTTCTGTCTTTCATTGGTTAGGGTTGTTGCAAGCTACTACCACGTAGTGTTAACTTGGACTCTCCGGGTGGCCACTGGGGAAGCCTGGACCTCAGTGGGAGCAGTACTGCCAGGGCAAAGGTGGTCCCTCCTTTTCAATCAGTACCGTGCATAGGAACACTCCCAGGTCTGTGGCGGCCAAGGTGGTAAACGCAGTGTCCATCGCTTTCCACCACGTGGCACACCGTGATGTCCACTGGAGGGGTACGTGAGGCAAGGTGATCTGGCAGCTGATACAATAATTATGCTAATCTTGCTTTCTGAAAGTCACAGAAAATGTTGAAATGTGCCCTTACTCTTGGGAAATGGCATCGCTGTCTTTCAGTGAAGTATTTGTAATTATCTTACTTGGAACTCTCGTCTCCAACTGAAAAAAAATTCTCACTTCATCTTTACCCTTTCTCATCCTAATCTATTTCATTCATTCATTCTTTCACTTTCTTCATTCCTACAGTGACTATTTATTGAGCAGTCTATTGGTGCCAGACAGTACTAGGCACTGGTGACACAGAAATAAAGGACACTGTGAGACAGATGAGTAATTAAAAAAAATGCTAGGGAATCCATAACTTTACTAGAACATTTTGAAAGATGAGAAGGAGTTAGAAAGGGTGGAGAAAGAGAAATGTATTAAAAGCAGATAATGCCAGATATGCAAAGAAGAAATTCAATGGTATGATAGATTTGGAGGATTCAAAGTATTCACTATGTGGGGTGTGTGTGTGTGTGTGTGTGTGTGTGTGTGTCTGTGTCTGTGTCTGTGTTGCGTGCACTATGATGGGGAAGCAGAGCAGAAAGGCACATAAACGAGGTAGAAAATTCAGCAGGGGCTCGATGTGGGAATGTGGGCATGGTAAAGAATCTGGATTTTATCGTGAAGGCATCAGGGGACCTCTGAAGAGTGGTAAGCAAAAAGTGGCATGAATAGGTTTATGTTGTAGAGAACACTCCAGAACACATTGCAGAAATGGACTGA